TTCCTTCCTTCCTTCCTTCCTTCCTTCCTTCCTTCCTTCCTTCCTTCCTTCCTTCCTTCCTTCCTTCCTTCCTTCCTTCCCTTGTCCATTGTAATCATGGCTCTGGAAATGATTGTATGGAGAAACCCTAAACACAGAAGTAGCTCTTGGGATTATATTCTTGCTGATTAGCTTACTGCCTTGAATGAAAAATATTGATCCATCTCATCATTCGAAAGACTATTTCAGATAATAGTCTCTGGCATGTCTCCCTGCAATCCTGATTTTAAAGACAGAGCTAATTCATAGTCCATAAATTCTGAGAGACTAATGCTGTCTGTCATACACACAAACACACACCGAACTCCTTGATTATAATTTTTATGGTAGGGAAGACATAAAGCTACTGTGAATTGGGTTATTATAACTCATTGATCTGAATTACGATAATGAGATATTTTCTTTAACATAAATCCACCAATATTAAACTTCAGATAATGTAAATGTATTGCTTTAGGAATAGTGGTTAGATATTCAATATCTCTTCTTAACAAAAGCCAGGAAGAAAGATCTCTCAAACTTCCCTAATTTTTCTAAGCATCTTATCTTTATTATGAATGCATTCAATGGTTCGACTGTACATCAGTAATATTTATGTTACACTAGTGAAAAGCTCTTAACTAAGATTAGGAGAAATAAAACATCAAACAATCAATAAATAATAACTAATAAAACATTAAACCAACCAATAAAACATAAAAACAAATAAAACAAATAAAACAACCAAGCTCAGAGAGCACCAAGGACTCCACATAAAACATTATCCCCTACATTCTGTCTATCCATTATCTATCCTCTCTTTTCATGGAATTATACGATGGTTCCAGATGAGGTTCTACTGAGGAACTGTCCTGCTTCATTCACAGCATTCCAGACAATGTTATCTTCCACTTGTAACACTTCAGTGTTTATCCTATCATTTCTTCCACCTTTTTTCTTATCAGAGAGACAAATTAAGGAGGGGCAGATTAAATAGCAGTAGAGTGATTTTTGAAGTCAATACTAGGAATTCCCCACATGGAAGTACTCACATTCCATTTCCTTGCAGACTTTTTATAAAATTACAATTTCACAACAGCAAAGTTGTGGACTTAGAGAAATCACTGAAGTGAGTACTGAACCTTCCCTTACACTGTTATCCCAGCATTTGGGACATGGACAAATTTTGACTGCTCTCAGCTGTGCAGTATCTTATATTCTGCTTACTTCCCCCCCATTTTCATCAGCATGAACCATTTCTTCATCAGGCTAGAATGTAACAGAGCCTAGGAAATCACACACAGACACTTTTATGCACTTAGTTCCTGAGTTTAGATATGTAGAAGCTGCAGATTTTCAGTTAGAAAACCCACAAAGGAAAATTTATATTTGCAGCTGAAAATCTTCACCTCTTAAACAACTAAACAAAAAACTAGGCACGTATCATACAGCATACAGATAGTGGCACCCACATTCAGTTAAAAAAATCCCATGGGGCTACAAATCCAGATCAAAGTATTTCCAGAATTTGCTAAATTCAAATTCTTTGTCTGAATTTAACCAGCATATTTATAGCATATCTGTCTCAATGATCTTGAAACAAACCCAGATGTTTTAATGAAACTTATTAATCAATCTAACAAACAAAACTGGGCTCATATATTCCTTATTTTATTATTATGTACATTAAATATTCACAGTAGAAAATGAATAGCATAATTTAGTCTCTTGTTTATATTTACCCATCAATTTTGTCTCACAACAAATTGCCACTCATTGCCTAAGTGCTGAGTTTTCTTGGCAAAACACCTGCCTTCCTGATTTTCACTTTGTTGAGCTAGATATTACCTTCCACAAATCATGGACTAAACCCCATAACCTAATATTTATTTATGTACAAGTCATATAACAGTAATGATTTCAGATGATCTACATCTCCAGTGGGATGTGCATACATACCTCTGTGTTTCCAGTATTCTCCATAGTTTAAAAATACAACTAGGTATTTCATTAGACAAAGGGATCCAAAATTTCCCCAACCCCAATTTCCTTTGGAAATGATTTCAGGTGAATAAAGCATGCAGGATAATTTTTACAGATTGGTACTTAATTTTTCCTTTCTGGCATGCATGCATGCATTTGGAAACAGAAGGAAAACACTACCTATTTGGTGGCTGGGTGATGTATTGCAGGCCAGTTATCAGAAGAGATCTCCTGTCCAGGGGATCCTCACGCAGAAAAACAGGGAAGACAGAGAACAGATCAGCCACACCCAATAAGCAATTCAATTGGGAGGAATATCAAGCAGGCAAAGTATACCAGTAGCAGAGCTGGTCATTGTGAATGAGTAGTTGAAGCAGAATTGGGTACATAATTAGTGCTTTCTGAACTTAAAACTGAATGATCAACTTGGCTTTCACTGAACTTGGGAAACCTATTCCTTTGCATCTCAGCCCATGGAATAGCCCTCAGCCAGTTGTCTTAGAATGCTAGGGGAAAAGTGCAGATACAAATACTACAGCAATGGAACATGCCATAAAATAACATTGCTATAAATTGTAGGAGGAAGGGAAAAATATTTGTAGATCTACCCATCTAGTACATACCAATTGTCTATGGCAATAGTCTATACCATTACAACTTTTTTTTCTGAACATGAGTTGGGAGCCCAATATTCTTCATAAACAAAACAACAAAACATAATTTTTTGGCTATCTTGCCATCAGTATTGGAGTTTGGAGAACATCAGTACTTTCATTTTCTTCAACGTGGGTTTAGTGTTCTTACAAACAAGCATTGAAATTCTAAGCACATTTATTTCAGAATTCCTGCTGAAGTCTGAAATGTACTTCATAAGCTTCATATGATCTGGAAATATGATAACGCTTCTCTAAAATCTTTATAGACTCTAAGACCCTGTCTAATACAATAGTATCATTGAAACTTGATGGGGAGCATAAGCTTTGTGCCAGAAAAAGGATTCCTGGACACCTTTCAATCAAAAACAGCCAAGTTGTCCTGAAAATCATGCTTCCGTGCTTATGAGCTTCATTTGGAGTCACCATGCCACTTTTATATACAAATCCTTTTATTTTCCTACACCACTTTTAGATATGTAGGAAGATTTACAAAGAAAACTCCAACTGAAACCAATTCATCATCATTTAAAAAGGTACAAATATTACACAGCACAGTTTTGAAACATCTGAATTGCAAGCTATTTCAAGAAGTAGAAAGCAGTTAGTGAACAATACAATGGGCAACAAGGCAATAATGGAAAAAATTATGCAGGTGGGTAACATATAGATGTGCAAGTACTTACATATAATTAATTTCATTGAGTGTACTGGAATTTTATTAAAATTAATTTTTATTAAGAAATGTTTGCAGAATAAAAACAATACAAACTTAGGAAAGAAGCAAAGTAAGAAAAGATACTGAATAGATAAAAAGAAAAAGGAGGAGAAGAGATAGAAAAGAAAGAGTGCACTGGAATTTTTCTTGCCTATGAAACAATTCTCAAATATCTCTGAATGAACGCACTTCTCCTAATCTCTTCCACATGATCTTTCAATGCTCCAGATTTATTCAAGAAACATTATGTGATTTATTTGACTATATTTAGACTCATAAGAATTAATGTCCACCAAGTGAAAAGAGGATAGAATGAATCTGAGGCTAAACCTCACAGGAATATACATGTACTGACATCATATATGCAAGTATACACATGTACTTTAAGAATCAAGTAAGATTTTAAATGTGTGATATAAGGGTGTTGTTTTCCATTTAAATAAAGTATGACCGGAACAGGCAATCCTTTTCTACCTGGCATTCCCAGTTAAAATCCTGTAAACTGTTCTGTTTCTAGGAGAAATGCTTTCTTCCACTGGCAGCAATAGAAGCTTCTCCTCAAGGACATACTACTGTCAGAAGAGATGGGTTCGCTGGGACTAGGATTAAGAGGGCATCGCCAATCCTAATCAACCCTCTGATTCCAGGCTGCATGCAGTCCGCTAGTCCCATTTTTGGATCCTATAAACACTCATAAATTCTGCCACTAGTTTTTTTTGTTAGGCCTATGTCTTATATACATATACTGGCCTTCCTCATGGTAGCTGGCCTGTGGACATCTCTAATTATATCCTCACAGATTAGGTTGAGAGAAGCTGACTTGCCAGAAACTATTCAGTGACTCTATTGTTATGTGGGATTGGCTTTAAAAAATAACAGGGGAAATAGATATACTATTAATCTCCTACTAGACTTAGCACACCTATTTGGGGTTGAACTCCTTAAGAACTCTCCCAAAGGCATAAATTATAACCACCATCCCAATTCTGGCAATGTCCCTCATACCTTTAGAAGCCATTTTTAAAAAGTAAGGGTCTGAGCTATCAAAAAGATGCTTTCCCTAATTTTGAAAAAATTATGGAATTTTAAGGCATATAAATACTAACCTGTATATATCTAGGTGGCATACTATTTTATAGACTGCCCGATCCTTCATTTTATCTGAAGCTCCAAATTTTGGGCTGCAACTGCTAAGATGGACTTTTATTTGGGCAGGAAAGAGAAAGCTCTTCAGCTCATCTTCATGAGCACTCTCTGTGAGTGATTTATAGCATCACCTAGCAATTGCTGTGGTGATTGATCACTAAAGCATACAGCCTTTAAAAGTACAGAAATGCTCCTTGTCTTTCAAAATAAGACAAGTTTGCTGAACTAATTGAACTAAGTTTGCTGGTAGTGAAATAGGTCATGAGAGGGCTATATCCTCAGGCCTTAGGATGTGATGCCAGATGAAGTAGACAGCCTGTCTTGCTTCTCTATACTTCACATACTATGTCTGCAGCACATCAAGACTTCCTTTTAAACCTGGTCCAGCAGGGCAGATTGCTGGAGCTATCTTGGTGCAAGGGGCAGTGCCAACAATTAGGGTACAATAAAGTATGAGTATCACTGAGAGCAAACACATTTGCAGATCTTCACCGGGAGGCTGTTGGACCAGATGATGCATAAAGACTTCCCTTCAGTCCTATGATAATTAAGTTATGGAATTTGCTGCCACAAGATATGGCGAAAGTTACTTCGCTAAACATGCTTAAAAGTCGGGACTGCACAGGAGAGTCAGCTATCAATAGCTAAAAATCTTGCTACTTGCTTGCTACTTGAAGAATATTGGTGGCATGTCTTGAATACCTACTGGTAGATTTTATGGACTTGCTGAATGCATCTGACTGGTCACAGTGAGATGTGGAATGATGGACTACAAGGGCCATTTTCTTGACCCAAATGACCCATCTTATAATGCTCTGATATTCATCATAGTAGCTCATAAAAGTGCATATGTCAAACTGTAGATATGAGGTAAGGGGATTCGGGTCAAAAGTAGCACCATTTGGGCATTTTTGGAAGGAAGAGACTCCCAGGAGTAAGCAACCTTTTAGTGCCTGGGGCCACAGTCAATATTTTTGGTAGGAGTAAGGACTGTAGTAGGCAAATTACAAGGGCAACTGGCTGGAAGTTTCTCTTTCTCTTCCAAGTTCTTTAGTGGTAAGGTGTTTCTTTTCTTTTTTAACAGAATAAAATCTATTTTTGTGCTCACATAGATTTTCACGTTTTCCACCCTAAAATTTTGAGAAACCATGCTGCCAACACACCACTAAATCTGAAGATGGCTCCAAGAGACAAATATCAATGCTTGAAGGCTTCATTGGCCCCTGAGCTGCCCTGGTGTAGGGCAAAATCCAGGCAACATTCTCTATGCCCCATTTCAACATTTCGCTATTTAGTTTGCTGTTCTTTTAGAATCATACATTTTGAACCATGATTATTTGACAAGTGGGAATAATTACATGCTAAGCAAGTAAAATACATTGCCTTTAATGTTAGTTAATGTTCTAGTTAGTTATCTCCAAACTGTTGGTCCTCCAGATGTTTAGGGCTACAAACCCACCACCCTCTAGTCAACATGAGGAAATTTGCCTCTAAACTCATCCAAAAGAGAGACGGAAAAGGGAAGTCTTTGCAGATCAGAGATTCAATGCAGCCTAATCATAAAGCTACTCACAGGGTATTTTCTCATGAAGCTGGCCTTTCTAAGTACAGGTAGTCCCCAGGTTAAGAACGCCCAGGTTACAAACCACCCATAGTTAAGAACAGAGCCTATTGTAGCAAAATTGGAGTTAAATACACAATGATTTGAGTTAATTACACAATACTACTTATACAGTATTATACAATAATACTGTTCCGGGTTACATATAAATTTGACTTAAGGATAGACCTGGTGTATGGAACTCGTTCTTAAACTGAGGACTACCTGTATTCCAAACATAAAGGGAATGTTTCCTAATTAAAAGGAGATTGCTGCTTCTCTTTAGATGCTATGTATGCTTCCACTACTCTCATTATAGCAAACCCAGCCACTGATTGTAAGTATGAAAGTAAACCTCTGTAGTATTGTGATTAGTGTGTTCCACTTAAGAGCAGGGAGTTCAAAGTTCAAATTCCCAATCAACCATGAACACACTGAAAAAAGAGGCAAGATTCAATTCTGATAAACAAGTTACTAATAATGAACACACAATTTCATATATCTTTCCCAATGCCTCTGAGGGGAAAAGATTAATAACTTTTAGCCATATGCTTTGTCAAGATCAGCATTCCTCTCTGTTCTACTGAGCATTTTTGTTTGCCTTTTGAGGAAAAAGTAGTAGGCACTAGCCAAAGATCCCTTACAAGCCACTTAACAATACTCTGACACAATTTAAAAAATGACCTTAAAAAAACATGAAAGAGGCTTAAAATAGTTTAGATTAAAAAACAAAAGACAGAAAGCTTTCTGCAAACGCTGCAGCTTCCTGCAAGAAGGTACCCAATACCTTCTCTTTCATCTACCCACCTATCCAGCTAATTGGTACTGGACAAGGGAAAAAGCTTCCTCAAAGAAGTGAGTCCAAATTCTTGATTTGGGATACTTAAGGGTTGGAACACCATACTAGGTACTTAAGGGTAAGCGTCTGACAAGATGCGCTGGTCACCTCCTGCACTATCCTTCCTGTGTTGAGTAGGAATCCAGACTAGAGTTGTACAGTTGGTGCCATTACTACAATCAATAGAAGTAACAATGGTTCAAGGCCACCCATTTACATCACAGCAATCCTTACAGCAATCCTCATGTACCTCTTGATGCCTTAGGAAGTCCATGCTCTTGTGGCACTGGGTTTCTGCCTTTAACTTTCATGCTTCCTTTGGTTGCTCTTTACCTGCCAGCACTTTAGAACTAATTTTTTTCCACCATCAAAATCAGCTTTTCCTGGACTACATTACTTTAGACTGCAACTAGGAGATTGAAGGTTTGTACACTTTCTCAGGGGAAGGAGGATCCTCCTCTTATAAAAACAAAACAAAGAAACAAACAGAACCAGGGCATTGCCAAGAAACTGCTATATTCATTTAAACTTTCTACTCGGTCTAGTTCCAGAAGTGCTTTTAGCCCAAGACGCATTTCTACTAGCACAGCAAAATCTATCTACACATTCATGAACACCATACTAGGAGCATCTCTGCCCTTTACTGACCTTAAAGGTATATTTTCTGCTGATGTTATCCGATGGCTGGACAGCTGCCACCCGAAAACTGAGAAGTGGGATGCTGCCCAAGATGCTTTCCTCTTTCTCATCTGCATGAAAGAAGAAGGGAGGGGCAAAGAATTAGACAACTAAGGACATTCCTTTATCTCAGTTAACAGTTGTTTAAATGGACACCCTTTTACTTCACCTCCATTGCAAGCAACAAACAACCCAGGAGCATAGGGTACCTTTCCTTGCTGTTAAAAAAGAATTGCAGACTTGAAAACAATTGTTACACAGAGAGTGGGATGGAAATGCTGTGCCTAACCAACCATCTACCTGTGAAAGATGCCCCTTTTCCCTGATGCATCCATGCTTGTTCTTCTCTCCAATGCAGACCAGCAAGTGCCCACATATCCCTGTATGCATATCAGTTACAGTTACACTTCACAATACTATCTAGTTAATTATTCATGCCCCTCATCTTTTCCATCTGCTACGAGAGAGAAGGCCCAGGCAGGTCTGTGGGAACCAAAAGTTACAGGACATCCATTCACACTGATATTGTTGGGCTTACAATTTGGCAATTAGAGCTATGGAAAGGTAAAAGAGTTTCATTGGCAGGGCATGACATAGAGTCTGCTTCATTGGAGTACTTGCCAGAGTAGAAAGTTGTGTATAAATTAATATATATGTGCTGCAACTTCACGCATGCACCATCATGTCAGACCCTAACCCTAACCATTCCAGCAAATCCATAGGAAAGCATGATTAACAGGATATTACAGAGAATGTGAAATGATTTGATGACACATAATCAATCAATCAATCAATCAATCAATCAAAAGTTTGTGAAAGGGCAACAACAACATCCAAATCATCTATTTCAGAGAACTAGTTATACAGCTAGACCAAACCCAACTATCAGAGATACCATGCCACATACAAAAATTACCTATATTAGCTAGTGAATTCTCCATTATTTCAGCCTTTATCCATTCTTCAAACTATGAGGATATTATTTGTATTTATAACTTTCTTGAACTCTGTAGTAAGTTGAGATTCTGCCAGAGAAATTCCTATTTATAGCAGACCAGAATCCTTTTATAGTCAGGTCCAAGCATTACAATCCTTTTGCATTTTTCTTTTTAACCAGATGATAAAACAAAATGCTTTTATTTTGGATACTGTATTTAAAGTTTAAAAGGTGTATTTTTAATTTTGGTTCTATGCTGTGAGATTAATTTATCTCCCATGGGGCGAAGAAAAGGATGAAACCACTTGCCACATGCCTCTGTACAATATAGCAAGAGGTGGCACTATTGAAATTATTTCCTTTTAAAATATTTTTACCATATAATTGCCAGAGAGGCAGCACAGATTCTAAACTATCCCAGAGCAGAGGTAAGGGCAGGTTGAGAAGATCCAGGGGGCTTCTGGAAAAGCAGGTTTCGGACCTTGAGCCTTTGACCTTATGGGTTCAGCCACTCCACTGCAGTATTACAAAATGGAAAATTAACTGCTAGGCAAAATAGCTAGTGACTTGCTGTGCCATTTGGCTAACTTAAAGAAGGAAGGAAGGAAGGAAGGAAGGAAGGAAGGAAGGAAGGAAGGAAGGAAGGAAGGAAG